ACTGTTGAAATCACCGGACCTGTTGCCGGAGCCGCAGAGCTGCACCGCACCGTAGTCAAAAGGGTGGTGTGAGAGGGGGTGTGCGGGAGTTGCGGTCTCCGTCGGCTCGGTAACCGCACCGGAGCCAGTGTGAGCAAAGGGTTACGCTCACTAGTCCTCGGCCTCCATCCTTACGGCTGGCATACAGTCTAAGGGTGCTGGATTTGGGGTGGTACCCTCCATGCATGGTTAGGAGCTTTTGTGTATTAACATCTGTGTGCTATATCTCATCCTTTTGACAGCCTATTAAAACTTTCTTATAGGCAGACACGTTTTTCTTTAAGTTTGATTTGTTTGATTTGAAGAGGTAAGACAATTACACCACCAGGCCCTCTGACCACCATCAGTAGCTACTGCAGGTGAAGAGTCTTGCCAAAAGACACAGCAACACTGAAAGCCGGAGCCAGGTCTTGAACCGACAAGGTAAACTCCACTGCAACCATCACTATGAAAAAATGTCTTGCTTTTTTAAAGTGTTTAATTAAGCTTTATAAACTAAAGCAACCTCAGCCAGAGCCGCTCTAACGTGCTCCACAGTACTTTGGAGTTTTATGTCTTTAAAGGAATCACTGCAACTAAAATAGGTCTGTTCTTAGCTAGTTATTTATTTACATTATTACATTTTGGTTTTATGGATCAGAAATTAGAGTTGGCTACATAAGCAACATTCAAATTCAAATAGAAGATTTTCTTCAATATCTGCTAAAGAAATGTAACATTAATAGTTTTAAAGCTTTAATTAAAGGGCTTAAATATAATATTGTAGACTCTACTGTAAAAACCTTTATTTGAAATCATTTGGGCATATTCAGCACCCCTAGGCGGAAAAATAGAACAATGAAAAGATGAGATTTGAACATCTGGAAGCACAGAGAATAAAGTGCCTGGAAAACTAAAGTTGTTCTCAGGTTTCCAAACTTAAAAGACAATTCCATCATTTTTTTATTAATTTGTACAACAATTTAAACTACTTTTGTATAATCTTGTATATTTCAGACCTCAGATGTTTTTTTTTCTTTTTGATCAATGACCTTACATTTACCATCTTTGTCCTAGTTTGTGCAATTTTAGTTTGTAACAGAGAACAGAAAAGGTGGCACTTTTGTTACCAAAACCATAACTTACATCTAATCCTATAACTTTAAAGCCAATGTGTTATCTAATTGGATGGCATGTACTTGTTGTTACAGATTACATCTTTGCAGCTTTTCCTAATCTTGTCTCTAATTCCTGGTCAGTTCCACACATATTTTCATTAAATATCCTTTTCTGTTAACTCTGCATACAACCTGTTGTCATTCACATAGTTCTGATCCCGTCTGGGGCCAGATTACTAAGGAAATTGCCCTTTACCCAAATAATCTATAATCCGAGGGGGATCTGTGACCCAAAGGGAAGCCAACTGGTCCGGAGTTCACAGGATCCCCTGAAAAACCTCCAACACAAACAAAATAATGTTACAACAAGCGGGTTCCTTACCGGAAAGCAGGTGATTAAATAATCTTTTCGAGTCTCTTGGGCAGTGAAAGCCCACAGTAAAATAAAAAACCTCAGAGCATCGATTGAAAACCTCAGAAGCAGATAACTGTGATGATTCCTGAGACTCGTTCCGGACTTGGAGGTGTCCTCTGCTCACAAACTGGATCTAAATGTGTCTGTAATGTGAACAGAAGCAGGCGGCGCTCCTTCACCTGACACAATAATAGTTAACCCTTTGAGGTGAGCCAATGGAGGGGGCGCGAGGAGGAAGTGACGAGAGCACGCGGCTCTTAAAGGGACAGTGTTATGCTTGTTACCGCCTTCAAAACTAAATTATTTAACAAAGCTGAAGTTGGCTTCTGGAAAACAATGTTTCTACACTTTCAGAATCTTTAATCTACTCTAATAAAAAAAAAAAAAAAAATTAACACATAGACACGTCTAACCTGGATTAGATTATTTTAAAGTACTTAAAGTACTATTAAAACCAGGTCTCTGATTTGTAAAACTTCAATAAAGTCCGATTTAAACACTTTTTTTAGTATCCATGTCACACTAAAAGCAGAGGCGTAGCCAGAAAATTTTAATAAGGGTGGCCAGGCAGTAACCAATGTACACTGAGGGGTGGCCGTAAGTAGATAGGCACCAAATCCTCACGGTCAGTCTATGCTGTTCCAACAGGAAAATTAATTAGCAAAACATCCATATTTTCTAAATAAAGGAAAGCTATACTTTCCTAAAGCATTTGCTAACAAATAGAGGAATATATTCAAATATTCGTGCTTACATAAAAGGTATAGTGGATAAAATTCTTTCAGGTTTGAGTTTTGGGCGAACATCTTTTCCATTTTCATTACTTTCCTACTTTTATCAGTAATCATTCAGCATAAAATTGATATTTATAAGGACTAATATCTACATAAATAGATTATTTAATACCTTTTTATTAAAATTGTTATTTATCTATGATTTCACTGATGACTTGCAGAGACACATCATTTTCTCTTTAACCCATAAAACCCAAAATCTAGTTCTGAAAAGAGCATGAATTCTGTCTTTAATGATAGTATATTGATGTGTTTAATTAACCACAGGGTTTTTGTTATCAAGTAATTATGAATATATGAAAAAATAATAACTAATATATATAAAAATAAAATGTTTTGAATATTCCACGTGATTATTAGGGGGAAACGATGATAGGGGTGGCCA